GTAGGTTAAGAAGTTGGCCTCATATTTGAATACTTTTAGAAATTATTAATTAATAAGTATATATTATATATTTATAATTTGATGCCATTAATAATAATTATTTTCATAATTTCTTATTTTTTTCTTATTTTGTATTTTTAGAAAATAATTTTTATTTTTGTTCACCAAATACATTTTTTAGAAAACAAAAGATAGAAAACAAAAACTGTTTTCTACAAAATAAAAATAAAAAATGAAAATAAAAAATATTTGCTTAAACCAAACAGAGCCTTAGTATTTTTATTTTCATTTTAAAATTAGTGAAGATGAAAATAAAATATAAGAAATGAACTCATTAATCAAGAATAGCATAAAGGTATTTTGATATTGGTTCTATATGTTATGCATTAATAAAAGAAATGCATATTGTAAATATTTTTCATACCTTGTGATTTATGTTTGATTTTGATTGGAAAGCTTTACTCCCATCAATAATGCCTTGCTATTTCTATTCTTGTCTTCTGTAGAACATTGGCGACATAAAGAATGGTCGAAGGACAAAAATACCCGTATTTGACTTGGAGACTGGTTCTCGTAGTGGGTTCAAAGAACTTGAAGTGTCTGAAGATTGTGGTGTGGTCTGTTTCATTTTCATTTCACTGTTGTCAAAGCTTGCTTTTTTAAAGTTATTTATTATATTTTTCTTTATTGAAATATAACAAGGTAAAATAATGACCAAAGGTTTAGAAAATGAACGAGAGATTATTAAGGTGAACTATTCGATCTTTCTAGAATGAAGCGGCCTCATAGTTGTTTTTAAGAAGTAATTTTTTTAATCATAAATATTACATGATATTTTTGCAATTGAATCCTTGCAAAGTTGTTCTAGTTCATTTTGGGTTAAATACTTGTTCAATTTTACAATTTAATTTGTTTCTACTGACCAGATCATTTTTGAGGGGGTTTATGCTTTGCATCCTGAAATCCGGAAATCCCTTGATTTGTGGATTGCCGTTGTAAGATGACTTCTCTAATCCATCTTTGGGGCCTGAATTTTCTGATATCATGTTTGTATTATCTTGTTTTGTTTGAGAAAAGATAGGCTATTAAGTTGATTGTTTTCTGCAAAACCAGGTTGGAGGTGTTCATTCACACCTGATTTCTCGAGTTCAAAGAGACAAAAGTAGAGTGGGGTGTTTTATGTCCCAAAATGAGATCATGATGACAGTGTTTCCAATATTCCAGCAGCATATCGAACCGCATCTTGTTCACGCACATGTCAGTAGTCTTTGAATATCTCAAACTTTTAATGCAGAGATGTGCTTTGAAGTATCAGCATACTTGTTGATAACTATTTTACTGTGTGTATGTATTTAACCTATGCACGAGACATATGTTGTGTGTACGTATATGCATGTAAAGGTATGATTCTGTGAGTTATTCTGACAGCTACTCAGCAGTAACTCTTTTCACAAGGCTAACTTTGTGTTGTGATGCTTTTTTTATGTTATTGCAGCTCAAAATTAGAAACGACTTTGATCCTGTTCTTTCTCCTGAGAGTTCACTATTTGTTCTGAAGAGTAATAAACAAGTGCGAATTATAAAGTTTCTACTCTAAAGCCTTATGTGCTGAGTCTTGTAACTTACAAACCATTCCTATTTATTCTTGGTATCAGGTGGCCTATCAAGATATTTTAAAAATCCTTGACTCTGCAAAGTCATGTAGTTCTGTTCAGAATTTCATTGATATATATTTAAGGCTTCCTGGAACTCCTGCAAATGGGCAGTTAGCAGAAAGTGACTGCATACGTGTCAGAATATGTGAGGGCAGATTTGCACTACTGATACGAGAGGTTAGTAGTGAAATTTATGTAAAATATCTTTTAGTCCGTGCAAATACAGTTGCTTTTTCTGAAACTGTAGCAAATATCTGATATTTTGATTTCTTCTCAACTCCTCTGTTAGCCAATAAGGGAAGGGAATTTCATCATTCAACCAAAAGTGGATTTTGACATTAGCATTAGTACAGTGTCTGGCCTTCTTATTCTTGGGTAAGTCACATATTTAATGTGAAGTTCACTAGAATTTTGCTATTATGGAATGTCATTTTATGATAGGTATTGAATTCAAAATGGTTCCTACTGTGATGCTAAAGCCTCATGTTGTCAACTAGAATTAGGTTTGAGCTGCAATTTCCCAGGATGAATCCAAAAGCCTCACAATTTTTTTTCTTTTTCATTTTTTCAGTCCCTTGAAAAAAAATGAGAGGGATTAAGGGGCACAGTTGAACATAACTTTGAATATTTAAGGGAGACAAAGATAAGTTGATACCCTTCCATATGAGTTTCATAAACATCTGGTTGGACGTGTAGTTTTAGGAGTGGTAACTTATGAAAAAGCACATAAAATATGCAAGTTGAGGGATCTTTTTATTTGACTTTGCATTTTTTGGTGATGGGGCTCAAACATGCATGTCAGCTGTCTTGTCTTAGATGGTAGTCTTGATTTTTGAGAGCCTACACATTTGAAAATTAGTATATCAGCCATAGTCTGCTATTTTCAGGTTTTTTTCCATTCACTCGTTGCTCACTGATAAATTCATGTTCAATTGATTGGAGTTTTATATTCCTTTCCTTTGGTGTCAGGTACCAAGCTGTAGCCTATATTGAAGCATCTGCACTCATCTACCAAGATGGCAAGGTAATATTAGTTTTGGTCCTGTAATACTGGTTTTGTATTGTATTGTGCTAATATTGCTACTTGTTACATACTATATGTTTGGCAATAATTTGATTTGATATTTGTTTCTAAACCAAAGACTGGGATTGACATTACGACATATGGTAATTGATTTCAAAGGCTAGGTACTGCAAGTGAATCGAAAGAAAAGGTTTCACATTAATCTCTAGAGGGGCAAGCGCTTAGACTAGACCTAGCATCTCTCAGCTCAGATTCGGCATATCTCGTCTTAGCAAGACTGTTTTCGAGGTTGCTAAGGAACTATTTCCCTAAGGGTTAATGTCTGGAGAATAGGTTTTCTGGACAGGCTATCTTTCCTAGCTCTTTCTTCTGAGTATGTCTTTCTTGTGAGTAGATTTTATTGGTTAACTTGGAAAGTGTGTAGGATTTAGTGGCCAAACTATTATTCAATTTTCTATACCTGTACCTAATACCATTGATTGAAACCACACTGTTCTTGAACTGTCATTTTAGATAAAGACTATTCTTGAACTTGAGTCAATAATCCAAACATATACTCGAGGGGGTGGGGGTGTTTAGAGGTCTGGGGTTTATCTTAGACTCGAATGTTTAATAAGCATGTGCACTCGACTTTCTGCACACTTTTAAGTAATTGATGCATTGTCAATCTTCTAGTTGACTAATAAAATGATGTTAATTTTGTCTTTTAGATTCTCATTGAGGTTGATCGTCTACAAGATGCCTCTAGTCCTTACCTACAGATCAAAGGTGTCAATAAAGAGGCTGTGGCGGCAGCTGGTTCGGCATTGAAACTGGATGGGTCATACACAACCAAGGTTTGGCTCTGATTCTTTGAGATATTCAGTTTTGTTGCCACTTTTGTCTGTTAATTAAAATTGATGAGACTTATATTCATCTTGTAGAGTTATCTCCAAATAATTTTGGAAAGATTACCGCTGGGGGAAAGAAGTTACAGTGGAATTCACACTCATCAAGCTGCGAGGCTGCAGGAACTTGTGGAGTATATACAGTCCCAGGTGTTCACTGTTTAATAAAATTAAGCAATCAACCTTTGAACATATTGATATAACTGGTAGCCTTTAATGTAAGCTTTTTCATATAATGTTTGTGATGGATGAAAAGCAGATTATAATCATGGCAATTAGTGTTTGTAATCTGCATTTTTTTTCTGTGGTTTAGAGTCTGCATCGAAATTCCTAACAAAGGTTCACCTTTCTATTAAATAGAATTGGAAGGAGATAATTTAAAAATCAGATTATAGACATGCCAAGTTATTTGCATACTCTTGGTAATTTAGAGTCCACATGTTATGATAATGAAGTTCTTAATTTTTATGCAACAGAACTGGATGTAATCAAAGTTTAGATCACTTTTTTTTTTAATATTTAATAATGTTTTGGTGTCTTAAAAACAGGGTGGCGGTACACCGTCAGAATCCTCACAGAGTCGGGAGGCTTCTCCAATGGAAAGCATGATAGAAGACATGCAGTCCAGGATTAGAAGGCTTGAACGGTGGCAGACCATAAATACGGTACTTTCCCTACTGTTTCCTTCTACCTTTCCCTGGCTTGATTTCTTGTTTCTTTTGGAAAATTGGGCAAATTTTTTTGACGGTGAAATTTTGGATTTACTTTTAGAATAGAGTTTTTAGATAAGCAGATGGAGCTACCGTTTCAATTGGCTCCTTAGTTCGTTCATGATCAGCAGTATGTGAAATCATTCACTTTCTACTTATGTTCTTGTTTTCTGACAGGTGCTGTGGACGTTTTTAATGTCTGCGCTTGTTGGTTATTCCCTTTACCAAAGAAGGCGCCAATGACGTGGCTTTTGAGCTTTTTCAGTAACTTGAATTGCCCTTGCCAAAACATGGCTTCCTGCAGATTTTCTTCTCCTTTTTGCTTCAGTTAAGTGCCGGAAACTAACCAAAATTTCTTATAGAAGTAGTCAAATGTCTGTCTAGCAATTAACTCATAGGACAGCAAATTACAGGTTTTTCACAAGACTTTACAACGCAAAGTCTATTATTGTTTCGCTTCCTCCATTTTCATTTTATAAATACATACATTTCAAGGAAATCACAATATTATGGAGCACAGTGGATGCTCTCTCTTCCTCTCCCACATTTGTTTTCCACTTTTGTTTTCACTTGAAATTTCAATTAGTGCACCTTTTTCTTGAAATTATTGCAAGTTTGCGTTCCTCGTTTGCGAGCTGTTATTAATTTCCTTATCCATTTCTGACGTTTGTTTATGCGATTGTGAAATGGTCCACAATTTTGGTCTGTACAAAATGCCTAGAAATGCAAATTTTCAAGTGACTATCATATCAACTCATTAGACAGGAATTAAGTATCCAATGTAAAGGAGTGAAACTGTGATACGAATCTATTTAAGTTGCTCCAGTAATTTCTAAAGTTTAAAACAACACAAACTTAACTATGGTCACATTCTCGATTGCAATTTTAGCAGCCTGCATTATGGTATGATTCCTTTCTCCTTCATGAAATACACAGCAATTGCAAGTAGTACCATGAATATGATCAACCAGCTCATTCCACCTGTAAAATTAGAGGAAAAGAAAAAGTTAAGAGCTTTTATGTACCAAATAATCTCCTAAGTCTAGACCATAAATCAACAAAATCAGCTAAGTCATCATGGTACAGCCATGCTTGGAGTTGGAATTCTCTGGCATCTCTGGAGGGGGAGAAACCTTATTATACCAGCGTCTCTTTTGGTTCTTCAGTCATGTAGAGGTGTATACTTAGATTGTTATTTACATGTATCATTTAAGGTTGTTTTCCTGCTACGTACAACCATACAAGGTTCAATCCTGAATCTATCAAGATTTATTCATCTAAACAAAAGGATAACTTGATAAAAATTAAAAATACCAGGCACATGTATGACATTCCAAGCTAGGTCAGAGACCATTTTTCCTTTTTATTTTGGTTGAAAAAATGGGTGTGCAGATAGGTTCTTTCATATGCCCACTAGGGAGCATTGCCCCCCTCACCCATGTCAGTGGCACAGCCCTTCTGGCCACCCGGAGGAGAGAAGTAGGTTCAGCCCCACCAAGCGTCCATGATGCAGCTTGAAAGCCAAACCTGACAAGCAGGGGACGTAAGTGTGATTACCCCTGAAGCATTTACTTACCCCTGAACCAATTGCTTCGGTGGTTAGGTCAGGACATTACTTAGGCAACAGTTGACTTACCATCGTGATTATGTCAAAAGCTTGAATTAGTATTTCATTTCTTGGTCATGAACTCTATCATCCATGGGTCTCTAATAATGTTTCAAACTGGGAGACTAATCAGCACAAAATTGCAGGGAAGCCACCACCATTTCAGTTTGATGGTTGTAGCTTATCACCTTGAGTTAACTTATATTCAAGGATGCTCATGATACGGATTTGTCAAAGATAGGTGCCCAAAGAGGGCAAAACAGTCTTTAGCTCATGTTGGCATGAGGCTGCAGTGAGGCAGCCATTTCAATCCAATTGGGTGCATATGCATCTTTTCAGTTAACAAAACCAGAAAATCTGGAAAAGGCACATACCACTTTTAGTCTTGTCCTTGATTAGTGTCACCCTAGCACTTGAGTCCAGTGATGCAGAGATCAAAGCCCTGTGTTCAAAATTGCATTCCTCAATATCATACTTATTCTTACAAGGAGTACTGCAGCATAAACATTTTGCAGAGAATAAGATATAATGCAGATATATTGTTGTACAACCTTGAATCAGGGGAAAATGTCAATGCTGTAACCAAACCAAGGTGAGCTTTTTTTACCATCATTTGCACCCCCATATTAGAGGAATTTATGATAAAAAGGTGTCCTCCAATTGTTCCACTGCACGTACACCAGGTAAAAAAAGATTACGCTTCTTCCAAGTGCAAAGGCTTGTGGAGTTTCAAGACTGCAATAGATCTATTTATTGACCAAAGGGATCTAAGCAAAATTCTGAAGTTGAAACTCCATCTAATAAGCCAAGAGGCCATAAAACAATCTACAATAAACTATAAAAATTGGAAGGGGGAAACAGGCAGGATAATCATCTAAAACAGTCAGCATCAGGGGGGTCTCAGAAGGAATGAAATTTATTGTAGCCTAACTTTATTGAGAATTCAGATAGTCATTTGATACAGTCAGCACCAGAGAGGTTTTAGGAGGAAAGCTCACAATAGGTCTTTAATCTAGTACTTAAGTTTTAAGGATTTCCAAGTGAAGGTAACGAATTAAAGCCAGCAAAGTAATGATTCTTACACTGCAAGGAACTTCCCATCAGCTGAGACATTGAATGCAGAGATAGGTTCCCGGACTACTCGATTAGCATGCATTCTCTTCCATGTGGTTGTGTTCCATGTTAAAATACTTCCACCATGGTCTGTCAAAATCAAGTTATGAGGGTAAATTTAAGCACTAAAGGCTGGGTTTTCTTTTACCATACAGAAAAGTGCAGAGTCCAATGCTAAATATTTACCTGTGACTGCAGCAATATACAGAACTGGATTCTTATCAACAATTTGAGAAAATCTGCAGATGGCAAAAACCTCATCCTAGAGTGCACAAAAACCAAATAAATCAGTTGAAACCTAATACGTAGAAGAATGATCAATTCAAATCACAAGAAAAGCTCAACAATTCCCTTATTATTTCATGTCCGCCAGAGATTTTGCAAAAGATTGGCTAATTCAAATTATTTTGGATATCTGAATATTAACACTTTTTTTTTTATAATATCAGAGAGAGAAGAATTCACATTATAACGCTAATAATCTGGAAAATCTCCTTGATGGTATATAGCTTGAAAAGCCAGTCGAACAGCAGCAACAGTTGTAATAACTACAAAAAAGTTTCACCTGTTAAAAGACTTTGATTCACTCACTCACATTACCCTTTGCCAGAGAAGCTATAACTTTTGATGATGTCACATCCCAAATCCTACAAAGGCTACTTCCCAATGAGACGAGAAATTTTCCATCACAGCTGCAATACAAACAGTAAAGATGTCAGCAAAAAAAGATTACTAGGGAGATGAAGTTTCCTCCACTTTGACACCTCCCCTCCCTTCCCCTTCCTTGAAAGTACAAGCACGGAAAACAAGGTTGGGAGTTCAGGAATATATATTTTTGTTAATCCCACTGGCACAAACCTAAAATCCAAGCTCTTAACGGATGAATGAGCTTGGGCTTCATTGAGAATTATTTCCATGCTAGGCCACTTGAAAACCCTTAAACTGCCATCCTGTACTGCACCAAAATCAGAGCATCATATGCTTATTGTTGCTGAAATTAAAAAAAAATAAAAGGTATAATGCATTAGGCACAAAATGATGAAATTTAGCAAGTGAACATTACACAAGTGGAAAGTTTGCTCAATTCAAAAGTAGACTCCAAAGGAAGATCCTATAACTTGCTATTATCTGCCTTTCAATAATGGCCAACTCTGAAGTATGAAAACCCCCATGCAGCACCTATTAATTCCACCGTGGCACCAAAAAAAGAGACAAGTATAATCTACAGTACTAAAGGGTACAGAATAAAGATCATAAAATTGTTATACATTTAGGTGCCTTTTAATAGCTTTGTTTTTTTCGTTTCTTTTTTCCTCCCTCTCTATGTCAAGATAAAATTCTGTTGATATTCCATCATAATATGTCTTCGAAATCCAAGTCTAGCCCTCAAGACAACCTCACTGTATAAAGCAATCCATCATGTGACAATACAACCAGCATATGCTCTTTAATTTTACAGGAAAAAGAACAGCTGGACTTGATTATCATTTTCAGATAATTTCAACATATAGCAAGAACCGCAGTTTTACCGCCTCAGGTGAGTGATGAATCATGCAATAGACTTATTCCAACAAATAGAAAAATGAAAGGGATACACTACCTCACCACCAGCGGCCAGTACAGAACCCTCACTGTTAAATGTCAGTGCTAATTGTTGTCCAACATCTTCTAACTGGGTCAGAACTTTCTCTGACCCCTTGACACCCAGTTTGTGGACTTCGTTGTCCTCGGGTTCCTCCCACTCAAACAACCTGAAGAAGAAAAATAATGATATGTGATATTCCTTGAACTACTACCAATGACAACTAACCGTGCAACATAATATTAATATTGATGTATATTTGACGCGAGTCAATCAAAAAGGAGCAGATGAAACAAGATCAGAACCAAGGTTTTGCAACACAAGTCACACAAGATATTCCTATCTGATCGTCAAAGCATGATCCTTGGTGCGCATGTAGTTAAATCTTTGAAATTTGAATTTTGAATCTAACAGCTGCATAAACTCTTTGATTATACGTTAACATAACTTGAGGTACACCTTAATAATATGGTCCGCTACTATGCTATTACTCTTTCGTTTCAGTTTCTAGAGTACACAATAAAGCCAGAGCAATAATACCACCTCTGAGGCAGGTCATATTCTAATGCATGCCCATATAGGGTCTGAGTCAATATAGACCAGACCACACTGGCTAGTTTCAGTTCCCTCCACCTTCAATATACAATACAATTAAATGAGATAGGAGATTAATGTAAGTCTAAAATCAGTTCCCAGATGAAATATTGAAGCTCTCCATGGCTCTGAAAGAAAAACCCAGTTAATTCTAATTATCAACACCGTAGAAATATGCTATAGTTCCAGCTGCATGTATCTGGAAAAACTCACACAGTTGGCTTCTAAGTAGCCATATAAAACAAACCTGTTATATGAGCTGACTAGAGTGTATGGACTGCACACATGGAGATGAGGGTTTCAGTGAATGTTTACCCTTGAGATTAGTATTGGTTACATTGTGGGACAATTAGGCTTGTTATTGTTACTTCCATTTACTTGTTAGTTATCAGGTAGTGGCTTATCATACCTGGTGAAGCCAACTTTGCTGCCTGTAAAGAGGTTGTTACCAGCAGAGAAAAGAATGTAAAGTTATGCGAGTATGCCTTACCTAATAAACAAAAAATGGATGCAAACAACAATAACAATCTTAATTGGCCCACAAGGTAAGCAACACTAATCTCAAGAATGAACATTTTGCAGAGCCCTCATCTGCATTTCTCCTCAAACCATGCACCTCCATCAAGCGATGCACTCCCACTAGCTCATGTAAAAAATTTCTAGTTAATTTAGCTCGTTTTTCTGAGTTATTAGTTGCAATCTGCCTCCAGTCCTCCTAATGAACAAGCAACACCATTCCCTTGCAGAAGTGCCACGCATTTCACAGTGGATAAATACATGTCAAAGAGTCAAGGTTTCTCTACAGTACTAGGTACCAATAACCAACCACCAGAGTTTTAAATATAATTACCTTAGAAATTCATAGAGTGAGTTAAGGAGTTGACGTTCTTTGTATAAATAGAATGGTTGAAAATATGATCAAGAAACTCATTTGAAACTCTTCCTTTTTTTTTTTGGCACATTCTATGGATAAAACTGTATCAGCCATTTTATTCTGTTGATTAGAACAAGACAATTTTCATTCTCTTCTTCCAATCTCCACATTTTCAAAAAAAAAAAAAAACTTGTAGCAGCAACAGCTTTGAGATGATTAAAAGCAGCATAAAGAAAGAATAGCATCTCTTGTCAATAGAGAGAATCATCAGTCAAACACACAAACGAAATTCTTGTGTCTATCAATCCAATTAGAAAACTATAGCAGGACACTTCGAAACCCTCCAAGGATTATCCAAGCTCACATTTCCCCAATCAAATTAAGTTGCCTGTGCTAAATTATGTTCATGCAGATGCTTTGAGTCATTAATTATGTCAGTCTAACATGTATTTAGATTCTAAAGCACATTATTAATAAAAAAAAGAGTCAGAAAAGAATAAAAGGAAAAAAAAAAAACCTGCAACTCTGTTGCATTGCACAGATAACGCCATCTCCACGCGGATGAACAGTCATTCGATAAGGCAAATCAGAACCAGTTCCAAGCTTAACCACCTGAAACAAAAACACATTGGAAAAAAACAATAAATTACAATAGAATATTCCATGTACAAAATTAAAAAAAAAAAAAGAAGCAGTTGCTTATATACAGCAATTACAATCAGAATTTGAGGACATTTCCTTAATTCAAAATTCCTGATCTAAAAGATCTAGATTTCATACTTTTAGGATTGTCAACATAAGATCTATAAAATTAAAATAATTTGAAATTGAAATTCTTGAAATCTACTTACAGGTTGATCAGAGAGAGAATTAGAGGCGAAATCGACGTGGGAGACGACGATTGCATTGGGGATGCCGCTACGGCCTTCACCACCACCGCCAGCCAGAACGACGTAGTTTAGGGAGGTACTAATCTCTTCCTCTTCGGATTGAGTTGGATCTTCGTCTTCCTTATTATCCTCTTCATCATCTTCATGTTTTTCTTGTGAGTTGACCTTGGATCTGACGTGGTTGTAAGGAACCCAGCCGGATCCGTAAAACGGCACTCCGTACTTTTGGAGATCGGAGAGGGTGTCTGTCATGATTCTGAAATTTGTGTCTAAGCTTGAGCAACAGAGAGGCTTTAGGCTTGCTTATGCCTAACGCATGTGCTGCCCGGGCAATATATGATGTTCCAAGATCCGGCCCATTGGATCTACAGATTTGAACTTTTTTAAAATTATATAAATTTTAAAAATTTAAAATTAAAATTAAATAAATTTTGTTAAATAAAAAAATTCAAAAACTCATGTCTAGAAATCAATTAGAAACCAGACACAGGCAAAATATAAAAGATAAATAATTCAAGGTCGTGAATAATTAATTAATTTATATATTTATATTTATATATGTTGTCACTACAATCTATAGTAAATAGGGTTAATAAAGTGGTTTAGGCATTCTAAATTTTAATTAGTTTAGGAATAATAAGCTATTATGTAATCTAAATTGCTTATGCTATTGAGTTTTATTTATAAAAAAAAATTGCCCTTTATCTTCAACGAGTCGATTTTATTTGTTATTTTGGTTTTGAATTTTGAATGTCATAGCCTATTTGATTAGAATTTTGTTCTCTTATCATGAAATCATTTCCATAAATTTTTGTCTAATTCTTTTAGAAATCCCAAATTTGTCTTATTTCGAAGTGGACAAAAATTTCGGCGTTTGGGACTTAATTTATTTTTTCGATATATACGAGAAAGTGCTAGGGAATTGAGTTACACCTTTAGTTCTTAACCCTCTTTGATAAACACCGGTAGGTCAAATCTGGGTTGTTTGATTCATTTTTATTACTGTTGTTAGAAATTCATTCAAAGTTGATTTTTTTTTCTTGATTATTTAAAAGAAAAAAGTTCACTTTTTTAATTAAAAAAATTAGATGAAGTTTTGTATATAAAATTTGTGAATTTCTTTAATATAAATGATTTAATTAAAATTTTAATAAAAAATTTAAATAAATAAATTGATTGAGTGTAATAAAAAAAATTACTCAAAATGTCATTTATAATTCAAATTTTGATACTTATTTATCTATAAAATTTATCGGACATGAGAGGTTTTTCCTTTTTTTTGCCAAAGGAAACTTGAGAGCTTGAGCCCCCTATATATCTAACTTTCTGGCGTTTAATTATGTTTGTCCATCTATGAAAGAACCCATTTTCATTATTAGAATCATGCAATACAGGCAGGGTAGGAGAGGTAGATAGTCAACTAGGACAATGTGGGAAATTAGAATGGCTTGATTTTTAATATTATAAGATATTTTGATATTCTCCTCGTAAAAACCTGAAATGATAGCTAACGTCGAGTTACATTTTTTTTTTCATACTACATGATTGGATGATTGGCCTTTTGTTGTTGCTGAAAGCGTAGCAACAGCCTCCCCTACTGTCAAGAACAAGCAGTCTGGTCTCATGAAATCACCAGCTTCATCTGATTTTTGCAATTTTTCCATCACCTCACCCAGAGGATTAACCAACACAAGCTGTGATGTGAATTAAAGCATTGGAATTTTGAATATAAAAGACAATCATGCAATGCAACACAAGAACTAGTGATAAAATTGTTTTTACAGATTGGAGACTTACCTTGGCGCCTTTCTTTTCCATTGTTTTCTTCAATTCTTTAAAGAGGGATACGCCACTCGTGTCTATGGCGCTCACAGCTGAGAAAAATGGATAGAAAGCATCTCTATATAGAGTTTGTTGAAAAGCAGTGAACAATAATATGCATATTTTGAGTTTTCTTCTCCATAATTAGCAGCATCATAAATGCTATTAACTCATGATTGAGACAAACTTACCTGACATCTCTAAAATCACGAATTGAAGGCTTGAATGCTTCTTCAGATCTTCTTCTGCTTCATATTCTTCAATCCATCTCAAAATCCTTTGCAAGAGAAGCCCAATTATACAGAAAGAGATAACAGAATAAATAATCAGAAGACAGATATGATCTACTAACAAAAGTCTGTAAAGTGATAACCAACCTCTCATTCAGATATGTTGAGTTGGCAAAATTGATTGGAGCTTCAACGCTTAGAATAAGGAAACCAGGAATCTTCATGGATTCCTTGTAATGGTGAAGATCGCGATAAATATCTGTCCCGGGAATGTTCCCCAACATCACTGCCTTTGGCCTAGTAATTTGCATGAGGATCTTGAAGATAGATATTCCAACCTGTCAATCGATACTCCCATAACTTCAGCTTAATCACGACTAAAGAAAATCATTCGGGCTTGACTTGTGGAACTGCATATTATCTGAAGGTGAGAGAAGAGAACTTACTGCAATGGCAAGACCATCTTGGACAGAGATAAAAATAACACCAAAGAATGCACACAACATCACGATGAAGTCAAATTTGTCAATCTTCCAAATATGATGGGCTGCTGGAATGTCTATAAGGCCAACTACTGCTGACACAATGATAGCTCCCAACACGACGTTTGGTGTGTACTGGAATAAAGGCATGAGGAAGAGGAGGGTCACCATAATAGTAACTGACATTACTATGTTAGACACTGCAGTTTTTGCTCCTGCGTTGTGATTAACAGCTGATCGAGAGAAGGCACCTGATATCAAAGTTACATAGCTAATAGTTGCTTAAAAGCAAACTTCTTTGGGGACTAATTGCCTGCTGGAGAAGATATCTACCTGTTGTCACATAGCAGGAAGTGGAGGAGCCAACCATGTTCATCAGCCCAATAGCCATCATTTCCTTGTTACCATCCACTTTGTAATTCTTAAGAGCAGCAAAAGTCCTTCCTACTGCTATGCCTTCCTGTTGATACCAGGTTGAATTAAAGCAATGGCTAAATAGATTTGTGTTCTTCCCGAAATAGTTACACGGAAATTTTCTTTCATTTTTAGATGCAGGTATGCTGGTGTCTTGTTTCAAAAATATTGAAGTGATTATATGAAATCTTATGCATAAAGGCATACCATTTTGATTAGAGGTTTTGGGACCATTGTTAATCTGTTTTCGTTATATTAACTGGTAACCTTGGCTAAGTCCACGCTCTTATCCTCCCTCCTCCAGCTTTTGCTTCAATAAATAATTTCACTGAATTTCAACCTCTGCAAATTGAACCAGCATCTTATCCTTTTACTTACTGTGTGAAAGCCAGGCCGCAAAGGGGTGGTCTTTTTCACTAGGAAGCCAGCCCATTTTAACTTTACCTCCTTTGTCAACTTGTTCAACAATCTGACAAGCCTGCTATTGGCTCATCAATATTATCATAATGATGCATTGCGGTCTGAAAATTGGCTTCAGCTTCAGACTTCAAAATAAATTTGTTGTAGCCAACTGGCCATTTATTGTTTGCATGTTTCTACTGTACATCATGCTTAAAATGGTTTACCGTGATTTGACAGTTGGCTTGAAATCTGTTCTGGTTTAATAAAGCTCTGCTTGGTTGCTGCTGTGTTAATATGTACATTTGCCCTAACGTTTCAGATAACTTGAGGTATCAGTTCAACTTCAGCTTGAACATTTTATGCAACTCCGTGCGGATAAAGCCTAAAAGCAAGGGCAAAACCCTCCGTCGATGATATTTGAACCAAAGGTGACATCAGGAAATTCTATGAAGAACTCCATTGTCACATGCATTTAGTTTAATTGTAATTGGTGGGCTTTTTTGCATTTAATGAGTTTTCAAGTTAATTATTGAAAAGATTCAGAAAAAGAGGTTTAAAAAACTTACAGTGAGGGAAATAATTCCAGTAACAAGGCCAGCTTTTATTGACAGTCCAAGGTGGCTTCCATGAAATTGCAGCATATTCCATGAAGGAGGATTTAATCCTTCTTGCAATTTTCCAATCTAAATTATAAGCAGGCACAACAATCAACTGTAAGCAAAAAAAGTGGAGCAATATGTGGGAGTTAGTGAGGGACCCAGGAAACTTACTATACTGATTCCATGATGGTGAGCTTTGAATGCAAAAACCAGAAGGGTAGAGAGGATCACAGAAACAAGAGGAGCTCCAGCTGAGACCCAAAACAGCTTTGGTCTTCTCATGCTCTGCATGGCACACACCCCAATTTTGATAGTCAATGCATATTCAAAATGTCAGAAAAAAGTATTCTATTGGACTTTCATGGGGGACCATGCACCAGATGTGGCCTCCTAAGTCAACTCTGCACGCTATCAAGGATTGTTTCCTAGATTGCATCATTATCATATGCTCTAAGCCTGGGGCTTAAATTTAGAACGAAGGCTCTTTATGTATAAAAAGTCAAATAATTAATCTTGTTGCAGACCAGGAAAAGGAAATGAAAATGAACCAAAGTCCATAAGGGCTAAAGCTAATGACTAATAGGGCCCATACATGTTCTACATATCAGAATAAGCTGAAAGTTTAAACCTGCCAGGCTCCGACACAAAGTTTTTCAGATTTTCCCTTTCTTTTTTTATTAAGGAGGTGGCAATCTAATATAAAAAAAATTATAAATACTGAAATTTAAATTTAAATATTAATTATCACTTCTTAAAATGATTATATAAAACAAAATAATTATCAACGACTATATAAAACAACTAAATTAAGCATTGGATTTCCCCTTTAACTCAAATTGCAAACAATCAAAAAATTTTATCTCTATAAAAGCTATATTTAATATTCATTTCCAGGATTGGCAGGGTGTCCACATAAAAGAAATTAAAAAAAAAAAAAAGCAATATAATCATTTAGGAAAACTATGACCACCCAGACCATGGCAAAAATGACATGTGTTATCCATGCGGATACAGAAAATAGTCAAATCATCAACATTGGCCTTTCTGATTGGTGAAATAAGCACCGGGGCTAGATGTAAGAAAACAGTGATTGTAGATGATTAACACTCTGAAATTAATGGGGATTTTGTCTTGAGTGAGTGATAAATTCGATTCTTTGGCGGTCAAGACTCAAGAACGTCATTTTGAGAAATAAAACGCCAGATTCCATTTTGGACTTGAAGGCTAAGAGAGAAGTAAAAAGACGTACGACATGTCTTGCCACTAGCAGGAACACTAGGAAGCAGAAGCCCATCAGTATTGTTTGCCATGACCACTGCACAGAAGTAAAAGAACACCATTAATTTGTAATAAGAACAAATATAAATTCACAAAAGAATTCTTCCCATGAATGAATCTTGAAATAATAAGAGGTATTTGTTAAGTTACTAAGTTACCAAGCAATGAAGCAAATATTATGGCAAGCAGCAATACTCGGCTAGAGGTAGTTACCATTTAAGTGACATTTACATGACAGGATTAGTGCAGAGTGCAGGGTA